GATAAAAATATTCAAGGAAATCAAAATGAAAATCGTGATTGTGACTTAGGATTTTCCTTTGAGTTACGATGAATGATTATTGTTATTCAATATTAAGATGATTTCATTTCATTTGATTAATAATAATTATATTTTTATTTACCCATGTGGAGTTAGATTAATGTTTATTAAAGTCATTTGGCACTGGTATGGTAATTTTAATTAGGTAGGTAGGTAAGGAATTATCCTTCACGTACCCTTTTTTAAGGGAGGAAAATCATCGAATGACTTCTACCGCCTGGGTGAGGCGGGAGGAAGTGTCAGATTCTTACTGGCCTAAAACCACCCCGTTCCTACTCCTGCCCTTCGAGCCGGACTGCCGGAGCCCCGGCAACCCGTTAAACCCTCCGTGGCGCCGCGGCAACCTGCCTACGAGGTCGATTCAAGTTAATTTGTTACTAAGGAATAATTTAGACACCGACACATCTACGAATCGAAAAGTTAGGTTTTATTCCTACCAGAAAAAAAACTTATTAAAAAAAATACAGTTTATCACCGTATTACCAGCCTTAAATGGTGAAAACTACGCTTTGAATCCCTTACAAATTACCTAGGTACTTTAAACACGCAAAATGTAGGCACAATCATCACTCAATTATTAGTATACAAATTACAAAGCAAGGTAAGAGGTATATTCCACACCATATTTCATACAAATTCTTGAATAAATACTAAATGAATGTGCCTATGTTACAAATAATTAGCAACACCTGAATAGGCTGAATAAGTTATGGCAGCCGCGGTCATCGCCTCATCGTCTCTGTTCTTGAGGCAAAGGTATACATTATAAAGAGCCAAATGACTTAAAACGTTAAATAAGTTATAATTTACATGTGTGAATATTTTTTGTACTAATAATATTGTTAATATGAAAATAATGTTTGTTTGTTTGACCGCTCTAATCTCCAGAACCACTAGTTTGAATTGAATATTTTTTTATGGGTTGAATAGTTCATTTATTGAGGAAGGGTATGATATGCTATAAAATATCAAACTACGATTAATAGGGAGCGAGCAGCACCAAGTTTAAACTTACTTGTAAAAGTTCAGTTTAATTTTCCTTCCTAGTTCCTACCCAGTTATTAAAAATATTCAATATGTAGGATTGACTTTCCTACGATGATATTACATGTATAGATACCTAAATTAGTTGTGTAGGCAGATAAAACAATATCACGCGAGAGATTAAATATTGTTTGCATTCCAATTCCCATTTAAATAATTTAATCAAACAAAAAAATATTAGAACTCCATGTGATTTGATACACGTACAAAATGAGATCAAGTTTAGTAGCCACATGATGAGATCGTATACGCACTTGATGTTGATAAACCAAATTATGCACTCACGGGTGACTCGCTGCCCGATCACGCCGAACCAGACCCGAGCGTACAGCGCGTCGCGTTCTGCGCGCGCCTCAAGGAGTCGTCAGACCAGAGATGGGCCCAATAGGGCTGATGCCGATACGGAGCCGCGGAGGGCTTAACGGCTTGCCGGGGCTCTGGGTCGAAGTGCAGGATTAGGAACGGCCGAACGGGGTGGTTTTTAGTGGGAAGTGTCTGACACTCCCTCTCGCCTCACCCGGGTGAGAGAAGCCATTGGATGATTTCCCCCCTCAAAAAAATGAACTTAAGTAGGTATGTATAAAAGGTATCTTTATCTTCATAACTCCATATTTATAGTAATAAGTATGATTCCTAAGTCATTATCCTTTTTACAAGGAACCTCTTTGTTAAATTTCTCGTACATTCCGGTGTTATCAATAGATATGAGAAGTCCTATTGTATTAATAGCTTCTTACAGCGGCTTCGCCCACGAGATAAAAAGTAGCCTATGTGTTATTCCAGACCATAATCTAGTCGCGGAGAACCTAACTGGTTACAGGGGCTCCGGCTCGAAGGGCAGGAGAAGGAACGGGGTGGTTTTTAGTCAGTAAGAGTCTGACACTCTCTCCCGCCGCACACAGGCGGGAGCAGTCGTTCGATGGTTTTCCCCCCTTAAAAAAAGATCATAATCTACCCCTGTTCCAAATTTCATCTCGATCCCTTCAGCCATATTGTCGTGAAAGAGTAACAAACACACAAACACGCACACAATATTAGTGGGATAGTAGTAGGAAGCAGGATATTCATGTAGATACCAATGCTATGTTATTTTAATTTAGTATAATAAATATAATGATACATTAGTACGGGCATGTTTTTACCTTATACTGTATGTACCTAAATATATATTTAAACCGATTTAAATTAACCACATTTATTAATTGATTTTTCAGTTACGTTGTGTTATTTTGTTTACCATAGGTACTTACTTATTTTATTGTTCTCACGGCTGCCTAAATAATGTTCTTACGCCTACATAAATAACAAATTAAAAAACAAATATAAATCTTACCCAAAAAATTGCCAATCAGGAAACGCTGTTATTACACTTCCGAAAACCACTTCAAAAATGTTTTTAACAAAATTGAATTACGAAAACTTACAACAGAATTAATTTTATCCAATGTAGGTAATCACTGTACACTTAATTTTACAATAATATTTAGGTATTGATCGACATTTAGTTCAATGCAGACTTAACAAAGATTTCGTGCATCGGTTTACGAAGTTAATCTTACACTGAAGGGTATTCACAAAAGTATGTGAACGATTATATCGAGTAGCTCTAATTCTGTGTTACGAATGCATAGAGGTATTTACAGTTATAAGATAATTACTGGTCTAATAAAACGAGATGAATGGGTACTATGATATATTAGTTAATCATTGGAAAAAACTCAGTGAAGTTGTTTATGTAACTATGTATTTTATTTTAGTGGTTTTAAGAACAGGGTGTGTGAGAAAAAATGTTTATTAAATTGAATGTGGGTAGTATCACCGCCGTAATCAGAAAGCGGTCGGCACATCTGTCGATACTTTTAGATTTTTAAGCTTGATAGTCCTTTTGTATAATTACTTATATCAAGTTATTTTCAGTTTCAGTTCAATTTAACTCGTCGAGTACCGGTTTTGTAGACTAGACACAATTATAGAACAATAGGTTGCGGTCACCGGTGACCGCTTGGTGTTTGACAGTTTAAAAAAAAAATACTTAGAGGAAACTAATTAAAGATACTAAATACAATAACACCATTATCAACCCATATTCTCAATACGTATTTATTTGGCCACAAAATAAAAATAATTTAAATCAATATTTAACGGGAAAGGAAACGTGTGTTTTTCCCCAAAAAATAGTGATTCAACTTTATTGTTTTCATAAATTTGCATCTCTTATGTAATAACAAAAGTACCTAATCAATTGATTACTTTTTATTACAAAGAACTTCTACCTACCAAAAGATATAAAATAGCATTGTTTGCATTTTTAGCACGCTTACCTTGGTACCTATTTAGATATTTTTATGGTGGCCCGGTTCAAATTCGTATGGTTGCGGTTAAAGTAAGGACTCGATTTACCTGGTGAATATGTCGTTTAGTTCATGTTAAGTACCTACAAACACTGTCCTGACCCGTGACAATAAATAACAATAAAATAATATGAAAGTTAACGTTTACCAAGAAAATATTAAGAACAATAACGTTCATAGTCGTATTCCTAAGTCAATTTATGCCTGCCGTGGAGAACTTAACGGGTTACCGGGGCTCTGTCTCGAATTGCGAGAGTAGGAACGGGGTGGTTTTTAGTCAGTAAGAGTCTGGCACTACCTCCCGCCTCACCCAGGCGGGAGAAGTCATTCGATGATATTTCCCCTTTAAAAAAAGTCCATTTATGCCTAAAATCAAATCAAGACAGAAGAATCGTCAGCCCCGAAAACCCACAGCTCATAAGTAAAAATGACACGGTCGCTAAATACTGTTGTCAATATTTACGCTTATTCAAACAGACCCAACATTGTCTTACAGATTTATGCAAATAAAGGGTACAAACATGCTTCTCATTAAAACACATGAAGATCTCGTTATTCTTCAGTTAGTTACAATCGGTTATGGTCCTAAAACCAGAATTTAACTGCTCACTAATTACAAAACTCATTAGGCAAATAGGAAGGCAATTGCTAACAAACGATTTAGTTTCTAAAGACAATCATGCGTGTTAATTCGGGCATATTGTTTAAATAATCTAGTACATAAGCACCTACCTACATAAGGAAGGACAATATCGCGAAAACTCACTAAAACTAAGACCATAACACTGTTTTAAACAGCCATTTTCTTTATAGATAAAACTAGTCAATGAATCTCGATCACGTACTAAGGTAACGTTGGAACTCTTCCAATTGAAAACATAGACATGTAAGCTGTTGGTGTATGAGATACTATAATTAAAACCATTCAAGGGCATGCAGAATATATTGAAACCGTAAGTGAATATCTCCAATTAGGGCAATCTAAGGGAAGAGAGATCAGATTAACGGATTTTGCTATAGAGATGTTTGAATTCTGAACACTTACGTTGTCTGGTACCTCCAACATTTTGCTGTCAGGAAATATCATAATCTCGGAAACTTGAAGAACATGTTGACTAAATCTGAAAAGAGAAAAATAAGGTCATTAGTTTAAGTTCAATTTTTTCAAGACAAGTCCTTTTAAAGTCAAGATTAAAAAAAAATTGATCGAACTATAAAGCCAAGTAATCAAGTTTAAGAAATTGAAAAACTTAAGTGTTTACAACGTTACTTAAAGATAAATTATGCAATGAATTATTTTCTTTTCTAAACTATAATTATTCTCAAAGATACTTTGGATTATCTAAAAATATTTATATAACATAACACTTGTCTTTTAAATAATATGAAATGTACGTTTTCTTGTATAGGTAACTGACAACTACGATTGCGTTCCTGCATAAACATTTGCGAACGATCTTTGATAGTGTCAAATGTTCTGTCGTTGTCAGTGTCAGTTGATATTTTAACATGTCAAAAAAGTCAAAACACGAGTTTGTTTACCAACACATTTATTTTTATCAATTTAATAAAGTTTATCGGATAACATTCTAAACCAATTTGTTATAAATCGGTGTGAAGAAAAGACATTGGTGTGTACCAGTGTATCCAACCATACCATTTATGTGGTAAGTTATCATTAAACATAACTTACATGCTTACTGATACTTTAGTTTTACGCATTTATTTTTGTTTGTTCTAATTTGGGAACCTGTATTTAAATACCATGTTTATTTTAAGTAGTTACTTATTAAATCGATATGAGTGAAGATTTTATGTAGTAGAATTTTGTTGCTTCTTTCGATCTTGTTTCAATATTTCAAAATCTGTTTTTCTGTTGAATACAAACTTCGTTAATTTTATCTAACATAAATATAATGTCAATCTACGAAATCTCTGTTTTACAATAATATTCAAACAATTGGAAAAAAATTATAACTCAATATGCCAACTAGAATCATTTTCTCCCACAAAACGTCTACTAAGAACCGTGTAACGCCATCTATTAGACTTATGTTGAACTGACAGAACAATAAGAAAGTATTGTTGTAGGACCACTCTAGCTAATTTCTCAGCATCTTGACGAAAATAATGATGAAGCAGTTTATTTAGTTTTATGTAATAAGAAATAGTAAACATTTAACAATAAGGTACAATATGCCTAGTTTTTATGCTAAGTACTATACTGAAACTCATGCTACAAAAGTAGTGCATCTATAATATACTTACACAAATCATCCATGTTATACCTAAACAGGCTTAAAACCAAGGCAGACTAAAACTATTTCTGTAGCATAAATTAGTAAGGATATCTTCACATTTCCTTGTTAGAGCATCCTGAGTGAATCAGGATATAGTGTAATGTATATTTTAATGTCTAGAGCTCAGCCTAGCCTCGTGCAGCTGGCATGGTTCCATTATTGTCAATGCTGTGTTGCTAGATGTATAAATTATGCATGGATGGGCTCTAAACAGTAAGAACAAATCTGGTGTTCTAGGTATTCCATTTATAAAAAAATGTAATAGATGTTACAAGATGGAGGACGGTTTTTAAAATCCTTATTTATTTACTATGCTAATATTATAAAAGCATTATGTTTGCCTTATCATAAAATATTATTTAAATTTACAAATTGATAGGTTACTGTTACAGTTATCTGTAACTTCTGTAAGTAAATTTTGCGCGGGAAGCAAAACAACGACACACGACACAGCGCGGTTAGCGCACCAACGACTAACTGCTGCGTCGGCCACGCTATCTTGATATTTGTTTTTTTAAGTTTTTTTTTTATTTTTTTTTTTTTTTCAGAAAAACTTTGCCCCACACTAGGATTTTCTCCTGTGTCGTTTACAAACATACAAGTTCACATACACAATGACACCCAGACCCGGAACAACAATTTGTGGATCACACAAAGTGTTGTTCCGTGCGGGAATCGAACCCGCGACACGTTGCACGGCAGCCGGTTGCCCAGCCACCGCACCAACCGTGCAGTCGCACGTAGTATATTGGTGTTATTTTTTTTATTTATCTTTAAAAAAGTATTTTCTCTCACCTTTATCGTGGGCGTGTGTGTTATCGTTTACAAACATTGAGGTAATAATTAGGACTATTAATTATTATTCCATTATTTACCCACCTACTTACCTATATTTTTACGAAAGAAACATATTTTTCGAACAAACATCGCATCTTATTGAAGTTGTTCAAATATTAAATCATCAGCCTCAATATTGAATTCTGTGCACGACTGCACGTGCACACTAATAAGCACCTATTATGTATACGAAAATGTCAAATAAAATCGCGCAAGTAGATGAACACATAAGTTGGCACTATTAAGTACCCATTATGATATCAAGTTATTAAATTATTTACGACTTATCCTGTTAGTATTAAAATTATGTCGCGGAGAACCTAACGGGTCACCGGGGCTCCGGCTCGACGTGCAGGAGAAGGAACGGGATGGTTTTTAGTCAGTAAGAGTCTGACACTCCCTCTTGCCTCACCCAGGCGGGAGCAGTCATTCGATGATTTTCCCCCCTTAAAAAAAATATTAAAATTATAGTTACCCAAATTATGAGTTTAGTCTTTTAGAACTAGCCAACTAAAATAATAATAATATATTTATATTAATGGTAATTACTCGATTGGATTTTTGAAGTCCTACTGGTTATTTTAGCTTTCTCTTTTATCGGTATCTTATCAGTATTTGTTTGTATAGATTAGTATTTAAGTATTTATATGTAGAAGATCTGTAACTAATACCTAATTTAATTATAAGCTAGTACAATTATTCCTATTTAAAGAAAACTTTGGGAGAATAATATGAATAAGAATATTAATAATTCAATTGTATTTGCATGTGACTAACTGTAATACTTAACTCGTCAAGTACCGTCATTATAGACACAATTATAGAACAATAGGTTGCGGTCACCGGTGACCGCTTGGTGTTTGACAGTTTAATATTCGCGCCATTTTCGTCTGCCGTCACAATACGCATCATGTTCCTTATTATTGTCTATGATTAATGTCGCCACTTCGCCAGACGCGAAGGGCCGACGAAAGAGGCCGAGAGCCACTTTCTAACTGTTGCGATTAGAATATTGCTGATGCCAGTTACGTCACAGCCCTTTTCAAATATTTTAGTGACGGTGTAAATAAATCTTAAAACAAAACGGACACAAGCATTTTTAAAGTTTAGTACAATTCTGGCCCTCGGTTCTTATTAAAATAATAACTTCTAGGCCCTCTATGAAGAAAGTTTGTACGTAATAGATACCTAGGTAATTGACTGCTTGATGACAGTTAGTAAACAGGATGTCTTCACGGCCATTATTTTAATTACTTTATTCAAGTCATGTCTTGTAGGTAGGTTATATCTGCTAACATAAAATTCGCATAAAACACGAAAATTTCGTGTGAAAATAAATGCTATGTATTGACGGTAAGTAAGTAAGTAAGTAAGTAAGTAAGTAAATCATTTATTTGCGTAAAACATGGTATACATTGGTATGATATGGAATGTGTCAAACTTGTGTCATTATAGACAGACGGCGTCTTGTGTTGGTTTACCCAATTCTGTGGTTTTCGTGAACTAAGGCCCATAGCACACGTATTTTTATACGCACAGGCAACGCGTAATACACGTATATTCGCTTCATACTAGATTGAACGCAACCTTGTAACCTAACTAAACACACGAAGCAATTTGTGAGACGCGCTTCGTGCGTAAACGCGCGTATCATCGATGCTCATGGGGCTCTGGCTGGAGGAATGGAGTAGGAACAGGGTAGTTTTTAGTCAGTAAGAGTCTGACACTCCCTCTCGCCTAACCCAAAGTGGGAGAAGAAATTGAATGATTTTCGCCCCGCAAAAAAAAACAACCAGTGTCAATGGCGCACAGTGTTCCCAATAGACGCGTTTCTTGCGCGTATAAAAATACGCCATGTGCTATGGGCCTAACTAATCTCGCGACTTAGAAGTAGCAGTCACGTGCAGCTTTCATGACTTATGAAGTTACCGATATGTCAAGCTGCTGATGCCGATTGCCGATATTGTGTCAATGTTATTTGAAGTTTCGTCCAAGTAATGTAGGCATAACATTATAATTATTATATTTAAACAAATTAATGGCTATAACATTATATTATTGGAAACAGGAATGGCATTCCGTTTCTATTATCTCTTGACTTTATTTACAAATATAAATTACGTTATAGATTATTATTTAATCAATTCAGAATACAGATCGAGACTTTGGACTTAAATGGACCTTACAAACGGAATTTTCCAATGATAACAACTAAACCGGTGTGTACAAAGCCGTCTTCGTGATTTGGTTAGAAAGTTGTATGGTTTTCCCAAAATGATTTAATTAAAAAAAAGACTCCAAAATCTATAAAAATGTCTCATTTGTCATAAAATATTATTAACTAATCTATTCTGTCACAGAAATGTTAAATTATTATATCTATGGTTCTTGTTGATATTCTATTTTTAAATGATCCCGCGTATTGTAACGGCTTTTTATAAACTCTTTGTGACATGTAACGGATTATTTCTAATTAAGAACAGTTTCCTTGTCGCCATTACGGCATGTGAACTTTAAGCTGAGAACTAGAATCGCCCCATTAACTGCATTTTCCACATTGTTCCACATAACTCACTCATGGCCATAGTAAACATAAGATTCTAAAGATCTGCGTCTTTAGAACATAACAATACAATTTTGTTATAGTAGCAAAACTGAGAACCTACGTTTTATTTCTATACGAATCCTATATAGACTAAACCAAAACAGACCCCTTAAATAGACGAAAAGACAAGATCTGATTTTTATTTTTATGAAAACAATGATAAATTCCTGCTGCACCATATTTTTTTTGCATAATTGTGACTCAATCAAGCGGTAACGATGAGGTGATGATTGAACGACTTACAGAGCTATTGTTTTCTTTATAACTTTTTGTTGTCCAACCGCAAACAGCACTTAAGTATTTGATATTATCCTATTGTGAGTTTGATTCTTCTTAATTTTTATTTATTACTTTAATAACTAGCGGTTACTGGTTTGTGGTTTATGTTGTGATCTTATAACACGAGCTCGATGTACACTAGCCAATCGCCATAATACTTCTTCAAGACCTTTGGTCAAACTAGGCAATATGCGTTGCTAAAAATCTCGTTGTGGAATGTGCTATCTACCTAAATCTCCAAAAATAATACAAGACTTTAATAGAATCAGCAATGAGCTAACGCATGCCTTCGATATTACAAACTTCTACTAGGCTAGCTAGTTTGCTAGAATAAGTTCTTTAGATACTTTTTTTTTTTAAGGGGGGAAAATCATCGAATGATTGCTCCCGCCTGGGTGAGGCGGGAGGGAGTGTCAGACTCTTACTGACAAAAACCACCCCGTTCCTTCTTCTGCACGCCGAGTCGGAGCCCCGGTTACCCGTTAGGTTCTCCGCGACAAGTTCTTTAGATACTAGATCAGGTATAATAAGGAACAAAAGCTTGTTTTGACACCTTGAGGCCATAAAAAAGTGATGTAGTTATAATACAATAAGCTATTATATATTTTGTAGTGCTACTTAACTTCCCGTGATGTTTAACAGCTTA